TCTGTCTGTCTGTCTATCTGTCTCTGTCTGTCTATCTATCTATCTATCTATCTATCTATCTATCTATCTATCTATCTCTGTCTGTCTGTCTGTCTGTCTGTCTGTCTGTCTGTCTGTCTATCTATCTATCTATCTATCTATCTATCTATCTATCTATCTCTGTCTGTCTATCTATCTCTATCTGTCTGTCTATCTATCTAACTCTGTCTGTCTGTCTGTCTATCTATCTATCTCTGTCTGTTTGTCTGTCTTTCTGTCTATCTATCTCTGTCTGTCTGTCTGTCTGTCTGTCTGTCTGTCTATCTATCTATCTATCTATCTATCTATCTATCTATCTATCTATCTATCTATCTCTGTCTATCTATCTATCTATCTATCTATCTATCTATCTATCTATCTATCTGTCTATCTATCTATCTATCTATCTATCTATCTATCTATCTATCTATCTATCTATCTATCTATCTATCTCTGTCTGTCTATCTATCTCTATCTGTCTGTCTGTCTGTCTATCTATCTATCTATCTATCTATCTATCTATCTCTGTCTGTCTATCTATCTATCTATCTATCTATCTATCTATCTATCTATCTATCTATCTATCTATCTATCTATCTATCTATCTATCTATCTCTGTCTGTCTGTCTATCTATCTATCTCTGTCTATCTATCTATCTATCTATCTATCTATCTATCTATCTATCTATCTATCTATCTATCTATCTATCTATCTATCTATCTATCTATCTATCCATCTCTGTCTGTCTGTCTGTCTGTCTATCTATCTATCTATCTATCTATCTATCTATCTATCTATCTATCTATCTATCTATCTATCTATCTATCTATCTCTGTCTGTCTGTCTGTCTGTCTGTCTGTCTGTCTATCTATCTATCTGTCTGTCTGTCTGTCTGTCTATCTATCTCTGTCTGTCTGTCTGTCTGTCTGTCTATCTATCTATCTATCTATCTCTGTCTGTCTATCTATCTATCTATCTATCTATCTATCTATCTATCTATCTATCTATCTATCTATCTATCTATCTATCTATCTGTCTGTCTGTCTATCTATCTCTATCTGTCTGTCTGTCTGTCTGTCTGTCTGTCTATCTATCTATCTCTGTCTGTCTGTCTGTCTGTCTGTCTATCTATCTATCTATCTATCTATCTATCTCTATCTATCTATCTATCTATCTTTCTATCTATCTATCTATCTATCTATCTATCTCTGTCTGTCTGTCTGTCTGTCTATCTATCTCTGTCTGTCTGTCTGTCTGTCTATCTGTCTGTCTGTCTATCTATCCATTTCTGTGTGTCTGTCTATCTATCTATCTATCTATCTATCTATCTATCTATCTATCTATCTATCTATCTATCTATCTATCTATCTATCTATCTATCTATCTATCTATCTATCTATCTATCTATCTATCTATCTATCTATCTATATATCTCTGTCTGTCTGTCTGTCTATCTATCTCTATCTGTCTGTCTGTCTGTCTGTCTGTCTGTCTGTCTGTCTGTCTGTCTGTCTATCTATCTATCTATCTATCTATCTCTGTCTATCTATCTATCTATCTATCTATCTATCTATCTATCTATCTATCTATCTATCTATCTCTGTCTATCTATCTATCTATCTATCTATCTATCTATCTATCTATCTATCTATCTATCTATCTATCTATATATCTCTGTCTGTCTGTCTGTCTGTCTGTCTATCTATCTATCTATCTGTCTGTCTGTCTGTCTATCCTATCTATCTATCTCTATCTGTCTGTCTGTCTGTCTGTCTGTCTATCTATCTATCTATCTCTGTCTGTCTGTCTGTCTGTCTGTCTGTCTGTCTGTCTATCTATCTATGAATGTATTTTTCTAAATGTGCATGTAATTGCAGTTAGAAATTATTTTCAACATGTCAACCCATAAAGTCTCAAATTCCTAAAAATCAATAAGGTTTAAGTTCTTGAGCACAGTTTAGTATAGTATACTGGAGATACACAGTCAGTCTGGATACTAGATGACTGGTGTTTTTGTTGTTTAGTCCACCAATACCCAATGAACAATATATTATACATGAAGTAGAGAAGAGTAAAAGTAAAGTTCAGCCAAATTCACTTGAAGGCAAGCCTGCAATCTTAGCCGAAATAAGCGATCAGAGGTCTTTTTTTAAAAAGGATGTCAATGGAAGAGAGGCTTCACTACGCTGAATAAACTGAATAAATTTACATTGAAAAAAATGTTGTTTTATAAGAGAAGTCACAGACAATTGCACAACAAGTAGGAGTTTACGACACTTCTCATTAATAATGTCTATGGTATCCGCAAACATTGACTGACTGTGGCACAACTCTGAATGAAATTCAGAACGTTTGAGTTAAAATAGTTTATAAGCATAATGAGGCTGTAAAATCGGACTGAGTTTAGCTGTTCGGCTGATGACGTTTAATGTCCCCGACAGCCTATGTAGTCCCATTTAGCCACTTGTTAGCAACCTCCTTTTTCAAGACACGTAACAGCTTCAAAAAATCCCAAGTGGGGTAATATTGATGTATTTTATGTCGTAGAATAAAACGTGAAAGTGTCTTGAGCTTGTTTTCACCACAGACCTTATTTCAGCTATTCAACCAAAACCCCATTCAAAAAACCCATTGACCTCAGGACGATAGAACCGGAAGTGCTAAAATGCTAACTCGCTTCCACGTTTTGGCCTAGAAAGTGATGTCATACTTGCACCACTCAATGGCTGCATCCAAAATCGCATACTTCCCTATTATTTTGGACGCAGCCAGTCTCTGGTTCAGCAACCTCTGTTTCTAGCCGATTCAACTGATATTTCCTCCAAACCGCCACCCATTGTTTTGGAGGATAATCCATCCAGCCTCTGAAGTGCTCAAGCAAGTCTAAGAAACTATTACTTATATTTGTCTCTGTATAATAATGTGACCATATATTCAAGATGAGAGGGGAGTGAATGTAAAGTTTAAGAATTTAAGGAATGGTCACTGAAAAAACCCACTTAAATATTGGAAATGTGTCTCCTGCAGTGTCTTTATATTAAGCTGGAGTAGGATAATGTATTTAACATTGAAATACTGACACACATCACCTTTAAACCCTCAATAAAGTATCTGGCAGCTTCACAGAGTGGACATCTTATCTTCAAGTATCTTCTAAAAACTTAACCGGACACACATTGAAAGACGAATACAGACACGCACATTCGCTCAGTCTCAGTCTCAGTCTCTCTCTCTCTCTCTCTCTCTCTCTCTCTCTCTCTCTCTCTCTCTCTCTCTCTCTCTCTCTCTCTCTCTCTCTCTCTCTCTCTCTCTCTCTCTCTCTCTCTCTCTCTCTCTCTCTCTCTCTCTCTCTCCTCACACACACACACACACAGCTGCTCATTATCTGCGACAGGCAGCGGTAGGATTAGCACTTGAAGTTCCATTACCTTGCCTAAGTCTACCAAAGTGAGATTTTTCTTCCTCCAATCTAGACGGTCCTTTTCCTTATCACCATGTTTTCACACTTCTCTACCTGTCCACGCAGCTATGCCTTATCTCAGCTTAAATGTGCACAAGCACAAAACCTGCTACAACATGCTTAAATGTTTCAAGCTGTTTTAAGGACCGTACAAATTCAATAAAAGACCGTTTAAAAGAAACACCATTAATCAGCTACCAATCAATCACAAATCAATCAAACCAGCTTGCCAGCGATTTGGCCCGAACACAATCACATCAGCTCAGTGAGAGACTGCCCTGCATTCTGGTTAAGACCTTGTAAAAGTGAACTCGCAGCTACTGCAGTGTGAAAGCATCAGCCTGCAGTGGATTAGCGCTTATCCGTACAATTTAAGAATGACAAACCTGAGGTAGCCAATAAGAATGAACGAATCAGTAATCGTTTAATCCAACTCTGATTTAAATTGGCTAATGAGGAAGCTTTGATCTGCTTGGCTTCTTTATGATTGGACAAAAGTGGTGCGTGGGATTGCCTAGTGTGTACTATCCTCTCTATTCAGTACTTCAGGCCCGAGGCTCTTGCTGTCCCAGTTATGACACACATTTACATGAACTGCAATGAATTACAGCATCAAAGTCGCTACATATTGAAGAGGAGCGAGCAGGAGAAAAAGTGAGTGTATGGGTAGTTAGGTGTTTGAAAGAGAGAGAGAGAGAGAGAGAGAGAGAGAGAGAGAGAGAGAGAGAGAGAGAGAGAGAGAGAGAGAGAGAGAGAGAGAGAGAGAGAGAGAGAGAGAGAGAGAGAGAGAGAGAGAGAGAGAGAGAAAAGCATGTGATTGTGAGACAAGCTAAAGGAACGACATTGGATTGCAGAGTGCGGATTACAGATGAACAGCGAAAGAGAAGGAAAGAGTGGGAAAGAAAAGAAAAAGAGATTTCCCACCCTGGGGGTCATCAAGTATACTTGATATTAAAGCTGTTATCTTTCTAGCTGCTTTAAAAAACACTTTCATTAACTAAAAAAAAAAAAATGACAGGGTCAATATCTGTCAAAAATAAATAGCTATAAAAAAATCTTGGAAATTGATTAAAATGAAGCCATGCAAAAGACTGGAATCATTCCTTCTTGAGGACCCTAAGGTCTGCAGATTAAAAATAATAAACAAACTTTGCACAGATGCCAAGTACTTCAAATATCTCTTCAAGTACACTTAGATTTAATTTGCACGCAGTGAGCAGAAAGAGAAATGCACCCAAGTCACACCTGTTTTTACAAAGTATGATTTAAAAATAATAAATAAATAAATAAAAATGCATTCTTGCATGCAGACATAAAATGAAGTGCATGTTTTCCTTTTTTTTTTTTTTGGTGGTGGTGGTGGTTGGGGTAGGGGGTAGGGGGTAGGGTGTGAGGGCTGGGGATTGAGCTGTGAAATATGTCCTTCTATCTCTTGGGAAAAAGGCTGGGAATACTCGGATACATGAAAAGGAAATTAGAGTGCAGCGCAGGCAGGTTTGCAAGAGCTGCTCTGTCACTTACTGAAGAAAATGTACTCGGTATAGCTGCTCCAGATCTTGTCGTCTCTGTACTGGTTAACAAACGCAGCTGTTCCGGTTGAGTTGCAGGCCACCATCTGGAACCCAACCTCGCTCAATCTGTCGAACGCTTGCTCAAGGTAGGTGAACTTCAGGTAGAAGCGCGATGTGTATTTCTCTGGTGGACGGTCAGGATCCCGACTTTCATTTAGAGTGTCCCCGAACACCTCCTTCGCCAAAGCGATACGCCCACAGACCATGATCCGCGCCACGCGCCTAAACTTAGCATCGGCTTGGTTATCCCTCACCATCGTGTAGGATCCCCGATAACCAATCGTAATGAACCCTGACCTCTTGTCCAGGGTGGAAGAGGAAGTTGCATAGTTGGTGGCGCTGTTTCCAGTTCGAGTCACCAACTCGCTACTCTGTGAACTTTCCTCAATGTCACTCTGGCAGCCTTCGTCGTTGAGCGAGCCTTGCTTGGCTACACGCGGGCTCAGAAGTCTCAGAAGTTCCCCCAACTGGAAGTGCTCGGCCTCACGTTGAAGACGTTCCCGCTCCGGGAAGTGTTCAGGTAGCACGAGCTGGCGGTCCCGTAGAAAGTCCAGCACGTATCGGAACAAGAAGCCATCGCGGTCGATGAAGAAGCGCCCTCTGCTGTCGCGGGGCAACTCGTGCGGGTTGCACCGTGTGAACATGGTGTGAAGGGTGGTGTCAGGTATGCTGACCAGAGTGGAGCGCTTGGTGACATACACCTGGCCGCCCACATTGAGTTCCACGACCTCCGGGTACGGACTTGACACCTCGCTGATAGGGAGTATAATTTCCTTCATGGCCATGATCCAAACACACCAAAGCGACAAGGTAATCACAAGACGAATGAAGAGAGGCGACTCTGGAAAGATCTCAAAAAGAGGCAGGCAACGAATCCATAGAGGTCCAGGGATGATGGATGTCAGTCAAGGCTTCACTGCCAAACAGCTGTTAAAGTTTGAGAAAGGACTACATCGCTGCTGGAGAATGAGAGAGGGATAGAGAGAAGAAGAGGGATATTAAGAAAAAGGGAAGAGGAGAAGAGAAGGGGATGGAGTGCTATCAAGTTTCCTCAGCTGCTGTCCCTCTGTTGATGAAGAGAGCAGTGGAGTGCGAGATGGAGACACTGGGGTGGGGGAGAGAGAGAGAGAGAGAGAGAGGGAGGAGGTGGGAAAAAGGAGGAACGCCAAACAGAGACCCACATCATTTGTCCAAGGTCTAAGGGAAGCCACAGTGACATCATCTACAGAATGAGAGAGGGAGTGGAGGTGTAACCACACAGTCCTGCCTTTTAAAGAGACAGCTGCACAATAATTTACACACTAAAAGAGCAAGAATATTAATTAATTACCATCAAAGGATATGGTATAAACCCATATAAAAAGATACAGAGAAATGCAATTTTCTTTTTTTCTTTTAGCTATGTGCATATGCTGTTGTGATGAATAATGGCCTCTCTAAATGACTATCTGGTGTAATTGAGTTGGACTCCAATGTCTGCATGTTGTGGAACAGTGAATAATGAACAGGCACACAATGTGATTGTCTCATGGGAATAAACACAGATTAGCTGTAATTCTCACATTATCTCTGCCAAACCATTAAAACGGAGGGAGAAAGAGAGAGCCAGCACTGTGTTAATCACCCAGAAGACTTTATCGCCACCTAGGGGCCATATGTATGTAATCAGTCAGGTTTGTCATTGAAAGTGAAAAAGACAATCAGTAAAACAACATCCAATTCTTTTAAAATTAAATTGGTTTTCTGAATAAACAACAGATTGCAATTCAGAGAGAGATTTTTAATGATCAATTTTTAAAGGTTACTTAATGGATTTGGTAATATTTTGTAGTAAAATCTTGATATAAATGCTGAATTTATAAACTTTTTTTGAACATAATTCAGAATTTTCCTCATTGCATTTGGTTATCACTGATTCATATATCTGTTCCTCAGATTAGTATGATTCAGACTGTCAACCAGTAAACGTAACTAGCAAATGGTAAATATTCCAAATGCTGGCGACCTCTTACCTTCACACCCCTATGCACCTGGTATTAACGTTATATTTACCTTTATTTAACCAGAAGAAAACTCGTTGAGATTAAAAATCTCTTTTCCAAGAGTGTCCTGGCCAAGACCGGCAGCAGCACAAATAACAAAGTTGCAGACATAAAAAACATATATATATATAACATACAATAACATAGATAACATATAGCATAAACATAAAACATAGAAGCAAGGATCATCCAAATAATTAATCATAACAACTACAGCCAGTATGTGTAGCCTCTATATCATTTAAAAGTAATTTAAAAGCAGCCAGTGAAACTGGTTCCTGAAGCTTTAAGACATTTTGCAGTTGATTCCATGCGCTGGGGGCCGCATACATAAACGACCCTTTTCCCATTTCAGTCCGGACATGACGGACGGACAACAACAATAAGTCCTCAGAACGAAGACAATATTGTCCTGTGCCTTTCTTTTTAATATAAACGTTGTTGTATAACAACGTTGTTGTTTCTTAGCAGAATACATTTTACACCTTCATTCCAATGTCTAATGTAATCGGATAGAGATCAGATTGCACTTATCCCCAAAAAATGCAAATCTCCATTTTACATATTAGCTGAGAGGTTCTGTTAACTGACACATTTCCATCATTTACAGAACACTGATGGATAATTCAAAACCTTCTGTTTTTTCTTGCTCAAAGAAATGAATAATGATTGGAAGTGAATAAAAAGAGAAAGACAGTTTTAAAGCACTTTCTTTGAGGAGAGAAAGGAGATTCCATTATATGAAGTTGTAACAGGCAGTTAAAATCGCAAATGCATTTTCAGCGATCCAATCACAATGCATTATGGGTGCAGTTACAACTAGCTTGTAATGTGGGGACACATAGTCATCTTCTTTTTTTATTAGTCATACAAATAATCTAAAAAAGAATCTTTCTTCACCAGTGCATGCTGGTATATCCAAATACCGACATCTATACATTATTCAACTCCTGAAACTTGAAATGTGACATTTAAGGGGATAAGACATTTATTTTTATTGGTTGGTTAGATACTCAGATTCAATGACAATTTGGAAGAAAAGTTATATTTTTAACCACAATATGGTCATTATTAAAGGGTCGAAAACACGACCAGTCAGAAGACTCTAAAGCAACTTTGGATCAAAACCCATCCAGCATGAGGTGACACTTTCTTGAAGGACAGCAGCACACAAGGCTTTTAGGAGATCTGGATGACGATAATGTCAGTGCCTTACTATTTATCACTGTCATTCTGGAAACACCGTCCCTCCTGAGGAACAATAGGCTTCCTCAAGGGATAAACTGAAAAGCAGGGCTATTGTTTCTTGGTGCTAATCACCTTGCTGAGAGCTGACAATGAGTAATTACTCTGATCCTGAGGACTGCATCCTCGGCGGTGTCTAAACACTACCTGCTGTTGATGAATGGACCAATTGGTCTGCAGTCCCATTCAGCATTTGCATGTGATTCCCATGTAAGGTGTACTTCTGACAGTGTATGGTAAGAGATTTACCTATACACAGACAAATACCCACAATCAAAACATGAAGAGGATGGTAATTGCGGCATGGTGGTGTAAATTATAATGCTGCAGCTTGCCTCTGTCTGTGTAATTGTATAGTAACCTGGAAATCACAGGTTTAAAAAAAAAAAAACCACTGGAAGAGGGGATAACGGTAGATATTACACGATTTTCCTATTTATCTCCCTCAATCTGCCTTTCAATCTTTTTTTTGTGTGTGGAAAATGCTCAGTATTTTGTTGGCTAAGACAACCATCACTTTTCATTACGACAATTCACAATATGGCAGCAATCAGGCGGATGATAAAATAGGCAAACCTCTAAAAAAATAAAATAAATGCAAGTTACACCGAGCCATCTATCTAGAGGCCAGAACATCATAGAAACTTGAGGATGTGCCCTTTTGACTTGGTTCAGTAAGCAACCATCCAAAACACCCTAGCAACCACATAGCAACATGTTTAAAAAAAAAACTCAGAACACTTTAGCAACTGCATAGTATCACCCTGGCAACCACTCACCTTTTCTTCAAGTGACTCAGTGTCGCTCCATGGCGCCGTCCATCCTCCTTTTTTTATTCCGACTCCATCAGCCCATCACAATCCACTGAGACTCCAGGGCCACACTCCCCTCCTTGATTACACTCAGATAGACACCAGCCAGACCTGCACACAGAGCTGTTCATCAGCCACTTATAGCAGCATGCATGGCTGATTTTATGGTGGATGGCACAGAAGTGACATTGACCTTCCCTCTCAAATAAACACTCATGAGGTAAAGCACCTGTGTTAACTATGCAGCACAGTACACGTGAATGACACACTCAATTTCATATTCAGCATGTAGAGCTTTATCAACCAGAGGAGGAACACCACCACCGCACATTTATATGTAGATGTGCTTGAATAATGACGCTTTCTCTTTTAAAAATGTGTTTTCTGTACTGACAGTGAAATATAATGTTCTAAAATGCATTTTTTTTTGACAGCACGACATATTTAATATGACACAGACTACAAATTCAGAATTTTAACAATTCTCATCAATCAAATGCAACCAAACACAAACATATGAAGTCACTCACAGTTAGACATGGTTACACAATATTAAATGCCAGAGCCCCTGAAGGGGAATAGTGGTGGGGGAAAAAAATATGAGATGGGAGGGAAAATAAAAAGTCAATGCTTTTGAGTTCTCTTGTTTTGCGTTCCCCAGAGAAACATTGCATTTGCTCGCAAAACATTTTCGTTCCCCTGAGAAACTTCGCATTCACTCGCAAAACGTTTTGAGCTCTTTGCGTACGAATGCAAAGTTTCTCGGCGGAACAACATTTTCTTGGGGGGAAAGCTAAACATTTGCAAGAGAAACATTTTTTCCTCCATCACATATAGTATAATAATACTAAAATAACACTCCTGCTGAATAAAAATAAAACAAATATAGCTTTTCACTCAGTCCAGTAAGCAATACCCTTCATATTCAACAATATTATTGATTTGACTGCACTGACACTATAAGATATCTGAACTTAGCTGGGCGATGACATCACTGTTTTCTGCAGAACTGCTTTATAGATAAAATGTACTAATTTAATAATTGATGATCTTTAAAACAAAACTGCATCAACACTGAACTGATTTCAGCTGAACAATGACACCATTTTCTTTTAGAGCTGCTGTACAGTAGCCTGGTTAAAACCAGACCATTCTCAGTTGTAACTGAGTTATGGTCTGGCAAAGCGTCATAGACAAATCATTTCCAGAGGGGCGTCACCAACGGACGTCGCGGATAGACCTAAACCCAATCAGAGCGATGAAGGAGATGACGTATGCAGAGCGGCGGAGAAACATCTCCGAGTGTTGTTCTTTGCTCGGTTTTTAACAAAAAGGAAACGTTTAAATCGCTTAAAACAGACGCGATAGCTGACTCGAACGAGTGATGTTCGACGGCGGCATCCATCTTTGTAATGTAGGCTACAAAATCTGCTTCAAAATCCCAGCGCTGTCGTCATCGTGTAAAGCCCACCCCAACGTTTCTAATTGGTGCCTCAATTTCGACGGATTGGAAATGGGCTTGAATGAGATCTTTGCCAGACTAACTTTCAGAGCAAATTTAAATTTGCCGGAAGTTGTCTGGGTTTTCCCAGGCTAGCTGTACAGCCGAAATTAACTGTTTGCAATCTGTATTGTATAAAGCGCTATATACAGTAAATAAAGGTGGCTTTGCATGACTAGTAACCGCCCAGACACACTAGCAACTCCATAGAAATGCCCAGGCAATCCACACCAACCTAGCATTTTGTTGAAAAGCTTTGTATGGGCAAAGATCACTCACATTTTTTCAGAAAATGCAAAAATTTGTCCTTGCGGCTCTTATAACACT